AAAGCTGAAAATTTCAATGCAATTTGCTCAACGGTTACCGAGCAATTGAGGTTTGAATATTTTGAAATCAGAATTCAAAGGGGTTAATTACCCTTATGAAAAATTCGATTTTTTTATTTTTCAGTTTTGCTCAATTTTGACTCTATCAATCGATAGAGCGAGTCCAAATTAGTGGAAAACGACCCTGACATCAATTCCAAATGGCTATTTTGAGCAGAAACAAAAATAACAAGAAAATTCTATATTTGTCTCTGGAAAATTTTCAAAATCTTGACATAGTCATGAACAATTGCCCATATCTTTGTTAAATTTCGAGCAAATTGAAATAAATTATATATCATCAGAAAGAGCATTAAATTCTCTATAAAACCGTGTAAAATTGAGTTTGATCGCTCAAATACTTCCTGAGCAATTGAGCCTCAAAGTTGACTTTTAGTCCAAATTTTGTCAAAAACTTCAAACTCAATTTGCTCAAAAACTATAAATTAGGGAATATTATAAACCACAGGTCATTTAGAGTTTAATAAGAGCTATGAATTCTGAAAATTTCAATGCAATTTGCTCAACGGTTACCGAGCAATTGAGGTTTGAATATTTTAAAATCAGAATTCAATATGAAAAACTCGATTTTTTTATTTTCCAGTTTTGCTCAATTTTGGCTTCACCAATCGATAGAGCGGATCAAAATTAGTGGAAAACAACTCTGACATTGATTCCAAATGGCCATTTTAGGAAGAAACAAAATTAAAAAGGAAATCTCATTTTTGGCTCTCAAAACTTTTCAAAATCTTGACATAGTCATGAACAATTGCCCATATCTTTGTTAAATTTCGAGCAAATTGAAATAAATTATATATCATTGGAAAGAACATTAAATTCTCTATAAATCCATGCAAAATTGAGTTTGATCGCTCAAATAGTTCCTGAGCAATTGGGCTTCAAAGTTGACTTTTGGTCCAAATTTTGTCAAAAACTTCAAACTCAATTTGCTCAAAAACTATAAATCTGGGAATATTGTAAATAACTGGTCTTTGAGAGCTTGATAAGAGCTACAAAAGCTGAAAATTTCAATGCAATTTGCTCAACGGTTACCGAGCAATTGAGGTTTGAATATTTTGAAATCAGAATTCAAAGGGGTTACTCCTTATGAAAAATTCGATTTTTTTATTTTTCAGTTTTGCTCAATTTTGACTCTATCAATCGATAGAGCGAGTCCAAATTAGTGGAAAACGACCCTGACATCAATTCCAAATGGCTATTTTGAGCAGAAACAAAAATAACAAGAAAATCCTATATTTGTCTCTGGAAAATTTTCAAAATCTTGACATAGTCATGAACAATTGCCCATATCTCTATTAAATTTCGAGCAAATTGAAATAAATTATATATCATTGGAAAGAACATTAAATTATCTATAAATCCATGCAAAATTGAGTTTGATCGCTCAAATAGTTCCAGAGCAATTGAGCCTCAAAGTTGACTTTTAGTCCAAATTTTGTCAAAAACTTGACATAGTCATGAACAATTGCCCATATCTTTGTTAAATTTCGAGCAAATTGAAGTAAATTATATATCATTGGAAAGAGCATTAAATTCTCTATAAATCCGTGTAAAATTGAGGTTGATTGCTCAGATAGTTTTTGAGAAATTGCGCCTCAAAGTTGACTTTTAGTCTAAATTTTGTCAAAAACTTCAAACTCAATTTGCTCAAAAACTATAAATCTGGGAATCTATAAGATATTCCAGTAGTTTAATTGTCTTTTTGTTGAACGAACTTTTACTTTTATTTATAGTAAAATTGTTTCAAAATAATTTCTTGACGTATATTGATATATTTTGAGCTTCCATTGAAAACTTATCGTGCTCTGCTTGATTTTTCCCACAAATTGCTATATTATCGAAATAATCGTAGCCGCCTTCTAGATTCTCTTGCCTGATTATTGTGTCTAAGACTCTTTGAAAACAAGCTACACCGTTAGTCACACCAAAAGGGATGCGATGAAACTGGTACTGGTTTCCATCAGCTTCAAAAGCAGTAAACTGTTTTTCATCATCTCTTATAGGGAATTACTGATACGTACCTAATTTCTTGGTCAATAGTGCTAAAAACGTCAAATTTTGAGACTGTTCTTACCAACCTTTCGATAATAGGTAAAGGATAAGCGTCAAGATAAGTAATCGTCAGCAACTATTCTGCCAGTATCTATTATGTATCACCACAAGCATTTCTGTTAAATATTGCAAAGCAATTATAGTTATTGTTTCGTATAGCAAATTGACCGAAAGTTTCTTGCAAAGTCATTATTCACAGTGACTTTATCAATGGTTCTAAATCTGGATAATCGGTGCACCAACAACAATGCCCTCTGTTATCTGGAATAGCAATTAAACATGCATCCAGGCATCCGTCTTCGACTAAACCAACTGATAACGATTTTCAGTTAAACACGAAACCATTTCCGCTTGTAACACTTCAACAAGTTTAAATTTTGCCTCGAAAGTCTAATATCCAATTTTATTGTTATTTATATCCAGTAAGTTCCACTGCCCACTGATGTATTGATGTTTTCCCGCCCTCGGAGCCTGTTTATTTAGTAATCGAAATACGATATGATGCGGATGAATTTCCAACAAACCGACTCAGCTGGAAATTCTATTAGGACCTCACGAAATTGGGCACAATAGACTAGAACAAAAGTAGTTATCCTTTCTTTAGGTTTCGGGCCTTATCTTTATCTGATTACTTTGTATTTAAGTATACGGGGTCAATCTTCAATTGCTATCCAGTTTACGACGTTGTTAGGAAAGCAGATATTTCGATATTTGATAACTGTTTTAGCGCCGAGAACTAAAGTCATTTTGACAGTATTACTATTATTATATCCGCCATGGTAATGAATTCTTTAAAAATAAAAAGTAGCAGTCTATACTTTATTCTATAGAACTTAAATTGTAATTCGGTGTAAGTCTTCATCCGCACTTCACTCTAGACTGACTCTTCTCCAATTGATTCCATAATGATTCCTTATTAACCATGATTGGTTTTTGTTATTAAATATTGTCTCTTGAAGCAGAAAAACCATCATCCTTTTACGACGCTCGTTTATATTTTAAGGAATTTATCGGCATCGTCTTTTATTTCCCAAGATAAAATACTGAAGCTGTCATATTAACTCAACGTTAAGGTATCTTGGGCTGAAATTAAATGTCCTTCACACTTGGCGCTAAAATAGTTATAAAATTCCATTCTTACGGAGGGGGGCGCGACGCTATAAATTTCAAATAAAAATCTTGATCGGTCCGAATCGTATATAACAAGAAATAAAAAGTCAGGGTGCGAACAGATGTGATGTTTTTTTTTTATTATTCTTTATTTTCCTCTTGACTTAAATTGCCTCTTAATAATAACATAATTTTATGTATCACGATTGGCTTGTTCTCATTGTAATTTTTGAATGCTGCACAACAGTACTTGTGATGGTGATTTTGGATTCACCCTTTTCAATTCGAGTAAAAGGATTGCAAAGTTCCAATGTACGACTGTGTATTCAAAAATATTCCTAATGATTAAGCATCGGATATTGTTTCACCCAGCGAAACCGGACTCCCTGACGTCGTCGGATCTTTTTGCGTCGTTGCCGCATTTCCGCCAGACAATCAGAGCCGCTCTCCGCTTGCGACGGATTCGCGTGTAATCTGATCATCAATCTTACAAACAAACGCCATTAGCAAAGGAAGCACTTCTATATCTCCCTAATGGCAACGCAGACAGTAAGTCAAAGTTGGAAAATTGATAATTGAAGAAAATCATTAATAAAACTTTCTCTCGACATTTATTTTGCTATGGTGTTTTGATAAATCGCAAAAGCGAATTAGTTTCGTCATTTATTGGTCGGAGGACGATTAAAAACGTCCGCCCTCCGAGTGTTCGAACAATGCTCATTGATGTTTCGAAAGCGACAAAGGATCCAGACATTAGGTTGATTAAAGTCTAACCAGAGAACGTGATGTTACGACATCGTTTATTCAACTGAGTTGACCCTTTGTTATAAACCTCGGCCAACCAAAATTTAACTAACATAATTTATGAAGCTACGATCTACATTTATTTTTACTTACCTATACTTGAGTTGTTGTAACTCTTGTTTGTTTGATTATAATATAAAAAAGGTTTCACGTCAATCTATTTCCTTTTGGCAACTAACAATATTTTCAGCCAAACAGTAGTTGACCTTTTCCACAGTTTTCACTCACTAGTTTCGCAAGCTAGCGTTTTATAACCCACTTTTGTCGTCGGCTCCGTTTTCCAGACAAGGCAATATTCTAATAAAACGTTGCCGTCTGTCGAATTATTCATTGCAAATGTTTGGGATAAAAAAAGACAAGAAGTCACCAGTAGGTGCAACAGTTAAAAGAGATTTTGCGATGCAATTTGGCAATTTGCTGAATATTTCAATCAAACGATTTCATAAAATTCATCGTGACATCATGGGAAAAAACGTCATTCAATAATTTCTTTGTTAAAACATTTTTATTCACCGGAGACCTCGTGTTGCATATAAAATTGTCACGTCTCGTCTATGAAATTGTTTTAGCGCCAAAAATCTGTCAGAATATTTGATTACAGTTTTTGCAGTTACTTTCAGTTTATATACGATTTAATTTATCGTCTCAAAGTGCCCCTAGCTTGCGCTGTTAAACCTCCCCGTATTTCAGGCGATATTACGACCCTCGTAAAATACATCTTCTTCTGATTTCGAAGAAGGGTGTAAAGTCGGCAAAACATCGGTTTATTGGAATATTGTCGTTCCAGCCAAACAACTCGACGACGCTCAGAGGCAGTTTAATAAAAATGCCTTGCGAGATCTGCTTAGTCGACGAAAGATGGCGAGAAGAAAAAGGTCAACTATTGCTGGAGCATATTGGGTAGTTAAACGGGAATTACATTTTCCTTTATGACAGCGATTGCGTATTAAAATTTATTATCTTTTCTGTTCTAGTTGACTGCGACAATTGGCAAGAATGGTGGACTTACGATGGTATATCTGGTAAGTCATTCAACTGAAAGTTTCCAATCTGTAAGGCTAACTTGACACACAATTCTATTCCAAAGCAATTTCCTTTTTATATTTACATTGAAGAAAAAAAAAAACATATTCGACTCGCTGTAAATATCTTATGGGCTTCTTTCGAATTCAATCTTAACTGTTGCCTCTCGCTGTAACTTTGCGTGCGAAAACGTTCGTCGCAATTCCGAGAGCTTAAGCCTGGAAAGCTTCTGCAGCCGGAGCCAGCGAAGGTACAAATCTCGGAACACATATTCGCCGGGCTTTGTACGCGCTGTCTCGGGAAAAGCTATAATATTTGACTAGTACAAGGTGTTTGCGTGCAGATAACCGAATATATTTACAATTTTAGATTAAATAATTAATTCAGATTGAATTGGTGAAGATAAAGGTTTGTTCATAAAAGAGCTGTCACGAGTAGTAAGTACTTGAAGTACTAGTACAAGTTTTTTAAAATTATACTTTGAAATTTACTTAAATATCATCAAATATGCAATTTACTTCAAGTAAAAACATTAAGCTTCAAGTAAAAGGCATTATTTGAAATATATTTTAGTACTTGAAGTACCTATGTGAAAAATTCTCTACAAATCCTGCAAAATTAAGCTTGATAGCAAAGTAGTACGGTAATCGGTTTCTTATCTACGGTCCCTGCTCGGGCGCCAAAGTTGTAGCGTTATTTTGGTTTTCCGGACGGTTATATAAGGGGTTTTCTATGTGAAATACTTTTAAAAAAATACGGAAAGAGCAAAATTTAGCTTGATAGTTCAAATAGTGTTTGAGAAATTGAATCTCAAAGTTGGCTTTTAGAATTCAGAAAAAGTACCTTTAGGGAAACGAATTTCCTATTTTCAAAATCTTGACATGGTCATGAACAATTGCCCAAATCTTTATTAAATTTCAAGTAAATTGAAATAAATTATACACCATTAGAAAGAGCATTAAATTCTCTAGAAATCTGTACAAAATTGAGTTTCATAGATTGAATAGTTTTTGAGCAATTGAATCTCAAAGTTGACTTTTAGTCTAAATTTTGTCAAAAACTTCAAACTCAATTTTCTCAAAAACTATAAACCTGGGAATATTGGAAATTACAGATATTTCAGAGCTTGATAAGAGCTATAAATGCTGAAAATTTCAATGCAATTTCCTTAACTGTTACCAAGCAATTGAGGTTTGAATATTTTGAAATCAGAATTCAATTGCGCCTCAAAGTTGACTTTTAGTCTAAATTTTGTCAAAAACTTCAAACTCAATTTTCTCAAAAACTATAAACCTGGGAATATTGTAAATTACAGATCTTTTAGAGCTTGATAAGAGCTACAAATACTGAAAATTTGAATGCAATTTGCTCAACAGTTACCGAGCAATTGTGGTTTGAATATTTTGAAATCAGAATTCAAAGGGGATACCCTTATGAAAAATTTTTTTATTTTTCAATTTTGCTCAATTTTGGCCCCACCAATCGATAGAGCGGATAAAAATAAGTGGAGAACATCCTTGACATCATTTTCAAATGGCCATTTTTTGCAGAAACACACATAGCAAGAAAATCCTAGTTTTGGCTCTCAAAAATTTGCAAAATCTTGACATGGTCATGAGCAATTGCCCATATTCTTATTAAATTTCAAGCAAATTGAAATAAATTATATACCGTTGGAAAGAGCATTAAATTCTCTATAAATCTGTGTAAGATTGAGGTTGATTGCTCAAATAGTTTTTGAGCAATTGCGCCTCAAAGTTGACTTTTAGTCTAAATTTTGTCAAAAACTTCAAATTCAATTTTCTCAAAAAGTATAAACCTGGGGATATTGTTAATTACAGATCCTTTAGAGTTTGATAAGAGCTACAAATACTGAAAATTTGAATGCAATTTGCTCAACAGTTACCGAGCAATTGAGGTTTGAATATTTTGAAATCAGAATTCAAAGGGGTTACCCTTATGAAAAATTCGATTTTTTTATTTTTCAGCTTTGCTCAATTTTGACTTTACCAATCGATAGAGCGAGTCGAAATTAGTGGAAAACGACCCTGACATCAATTCCAAATGGCTATTTTGAGCAGAAACAAAAATAAAAAGAAAATCCTATATTTGTCTCTGGAAAATTTTCAAAATCTTGACATAGTCATGAACAATTGCCCATATCTTTGTTAAATTTCGAGCAAATTGAAATAAATTATATATCATTGGAAAGAGCAATAAATTCTCTATAAATCCGTGCAAAATTGAGCTTGATTTCTCAAATAGTTCCTGAGCAATTGAGCCTCAAAGTTGACTTTTAGTCTAAATTTTGTTAAAAATTTCAAACTCAATTTTCTCAAAAACTATAAACGTGGGAATATTGTAAATTACAGGTTTTCCAGAGCTTAATAGGAGCTATAAATTTCGAAAGTTTCAATGCAATTTGCTCAACAGTTACCGAGCAATTGAGGTTTGAATATTTTGAAATCAGAATTCAAAGGGGTTACCCTTATGAAAAATTCGATTTTTTTATTATTCAGTTTTGCCCAATTTTGACTCCACCAATCGATAGAGCGGGTCAAAATTAGTGGAAAATATCCTTGACATCATTTTCAAATGGCCATTTTATGCAGAAACACAAATAGCAAGAAAATCCTAGTTTTGGTTCTGAAAAATTTGCAAAATCTTGACATGGTCATGAGCAATTGCCCACATCCTTATTAAATTTCAAGCAAATTGAAATAAATTATATACCATTGGAAAGAGCATTAAATTCTCTATAAATCTGTGTAAAATTGAGATTGACTGCTCAAATAGTTTTTGAGCAATTGCGCCTCAAAGTTGACTTTTAGTCTAAATTTTGTCAAAAATTTCAAGCTCAATTTTCTCAAAAACTGTAAACCTGGGAATATTGTAAACTACAGATCTTTTAGAGCTTGATAAGAGCTACAAATGCTAAAAATTTCAATGCAATTTGCTCAACAGTTACCGAGCAATTGAGGTTTGAATATTTTGAAATCAGAATTCAATGAAAAATTCGATTTTTTTATTTTTCAGTTTTGCTCAATTTTGACTTCACCAATCGATAGAGTGGGTTAAAATTAGTGGAAAACAATCCTGACACCATTTCCAAATGCCCATTTTAAGCAGAAACAAAAATAAAAATAAAATCCTATTTTCAAAATCTTGACATGGTCATGAGCAATTGCCCATATCTTTGTTAAATTTCAAGCAAATTGGAATAAATTATATATCATTGGAAAGAGTATTAAATTCTCTATAAATGAAGATATGGGCTTGAATTTAAAGTCGGTACTAAAAATACTTTAAGCAACATAAGATAGCTTAGATAGCATAGATGTAATTTACTTCAAATATTGACAGCTCTGGCTTCAAATGAATTGAAACTTTTCTCAACTATTTATTAAGCGCATAAAGCAAACATTTCTTTTTAATCTCACCGATTCAGGATGTGAAAAACCAAATTTTTTACTGAAATACTGGTTTCGTGAAAATGTCCCTGTTTACTCAACCAAATAACTTCATTGTCATTACTGGAGAGAAAACAACATAGAGTCCCTTTTGTTTCTTGGTAGATTCAAAAAAGGTAAAATTGCATTGCATTTATAGAGCGAGAACTGGATTTAAATTGCTCTAAAAATCGCAAATTATGGAAGAGTCGCTCGTTTCTCTTATCGAATAAAAAGTCGAATATCAAGGCAATAAAGGAAGGTCTCTTATTCACTGCAAGAAAATTCTTCATATCGAGAAAATCAATTTCCGAGTTTTCATATACATGACAGGAGCCCCAATGTATACTTTTGCTTCTGGGCGTCTGGCGGAGAGGCGACAAAAAAGCAAAATATAACCGATATCCCTCTCTGGTTCGGTTGGCTTTTATATTATGTTTTTGACGAAATGAAAGTCCGTGAAAGCTGGCCGATGACCGACTTTTTTTTTTCTACTTTTAACGTTTTGTCAGCCTCAGGCAATACATTTTAAATAATTCTATAGAGATGTTTCAAATAACCAATACATATATTTGAAAACATGAAAATGGACACGCAGGCAGGAAAAAAGAAAATAAAGCTCTTAAAGCTTGGGGGTTGTAAAATGCGCGAGTTTGTCTTTATTTGATTTCCGTACGTCTCGTGTCAGCGTTTCAGCTTTTCTCAAACTAGCAGAATCGGGTTTAAGCTTGGAAATTCTGTCGGAAAATTCATCCATCCAACTACATAAAAATTGGACAAAAGTGTCAAAGAAAAATCAATTACAAAATAGAGAATTTTGTTCGGTTTTAGCGTTGAGACCCTTGTCGAATTATTGAATTCTAGCTGATTCTGGTCATCCCGTCAATCGGATTTATCGTCTTTTTCTCCTAGCCGGTGCAATAAATCGTCTTAAATTACTTTTTAAAGTTAAACGGATAATCCGACATTTAACAAGATGCCAGAAGCCGAGACTGTTTGGCAAGCATCTGGGTTAAGTGGTGAACAATTTTAAAAGTTCGCAGAGATATCAAATAACAAGAAACTTTGCAACGTCGTCGCCGTTTCATTAATTAATTTGAATAAAAATGTTAATGATGAAAGTTTTAATTTATCAATTTCTCGTGCCCCGAGCGGGAAATTCCCAGGCAAGTTGCCTGGAATCGGTCTATTTCGAACACGTGCGTTCAGCGAAATTGTATTCTAACTTGGATGGCTCCGGATAATAAAACAACGTATATGGGAAAGTTCACCTTTGATGAAATAGCACCTGCTTGAAGTAATGTAATGTAGTCAGACTAGCGAATACCATTAGGATGTTTTTAAGACACTTCGACGTTCCAACAAAAACAATCAAAATTAGCAAAGCAGAAGAGAATCGTTGTTTTGTTCGAAACCAACCCCCCAGTTGCTTATATTAAGTTGGACCACGGTTGCTTGGCTTATGCAATAACCATACAAATACAGAAACTAAATTATACTGCAATCAGCTAATTTACATGACAGAAGGCCGCAGATGGCGCCACTGTTCT